TCATCCGCCGTAAGCTCCAACCGAATGTGAGATTTAGCAGCATTATCATGAGGTGAAAAGTACGACATCACTATTCTATTGGTGTCGCACTGTTCATAAAGATTTTTTTTTTTTTTTTTTTTCATTTGGAGAATGAATATACCTAGGTTTTTAATCTAATTTGGTCATTTATAATATCTAAATTTATTCAATTATGATGATAATTTTACATTACAAATTAAGGGTATATATTAGGCCATCTCGAACCGTACGTGAAACTAGCGTTGTCATCCGCCGTAAGCTCCAACCGAATGTGAGATTTAGTAGCATTATCAGAAAAGAGCAACGTCACTATTGGCGTCACAATGTTCATAAATATCATTTTATTTTCAGTTGGTGAATGAATATACTTAGGATACTCTTTTTTGGTGTTATAAAATGATATTTGGTTGGAGAAGAGTTACTATATTTTGGAGTGAAAAATGAGTTTTTAGGTTAGAGATGCAGAGCTTTTAGTTGAGTCGTGTTTAGCACGGCCAAAATTTTTGTATGTTTTGTTTACTTATTACCGGGTTACTAATAGTAAATTTTCAATCGGTTACTTTTGATGTTAATTGAATAACAAAGAATGTTTCACCAATGTCTGGCAATGGCTGGTGATTGAGTGATAATCAGTGGATAGGTAGATGTCTAGAAATGCTTAGTTGTTGGGAAAAGAATCAACAACAACCAATGAATTGGCAGAAATCTAGTGACGGTCGATGGTCAATCAGGAAGAGATTAGACTGGTGGTGCAATCTTGAGAGAACAAGAGGGCTCCTCAGTTTAATATTTATTTTATTTCCATTTATATTAATACATGAGCACCATCTAAATGTACTAATAAAGGTACAATCATTTTCATTTCTTTTTTTCATTTCCATTTAATGTGCACAGATGCAATGCTTCCACAGTTAGTACCATATATGAGTGAGCTTATGTAATTTGTATGCATGCATCTTTTCCATCTTTTAATTCTTCCATTTCAATTTAAACTACTACAATTAGCAATGGTTAAAATGTCAGCTATATAAGCCGTAAAAAAAGCTTTAAGAAGTGCTAATCTCTCATATACCTTGCGAGCCTTCCAAGCATTTTCCTCTTCTCTTCTTCAATCGAGCCTATTCTATTCTCTCTTTGATGGATTGATTGCCGTGCTTCCTCCACACCCCTCCGCCGTAGCATCGACCAACTGCTTCCATCCCGTCGTCGTTGTTAAGCTGCTTGAGCAACTTGAAAAATATTTGGTACATTTTTGTTATTTTTTTTTAATAAATCTATTATCATCTTCTCTAAGTAAATGATGGATATCCACTAAACTTTTATTTCTAAGATCTTCAATACAAAAGCTAGGTTCAACTTATGAAGATAAAATAAATGGGTCATATTCTAATTATTTCCAGCACGAATCAAACGTGAAACGTTAACTAATATATTATCATAATGTTCTTCTTTCGTATAAGTTACAATTGTGTTAGTCCAATCATGCTTGAATAAGACAATGTGAAATAACTCGAAGTAATTAATCTCAATAATATTGTTTACTCGACCATAATAGTGGCATTAGTTTTTTTAAGGGTCATAGATACGCAAATTAGGGCTATCATGCCTAACTGTATTTAGGGTCCATGTGTGCAGGAGGAATATCTTGTACTTAGGTTTTCTAGGGCTAGCTAAAGCAAAGTCTTTAGGATTCTACTTAGGAGAATCTTATGAGGAAGGCTCTACACTAAAGAGAGACCTAAGCATCAAGGCTAATCTTATGAAAGATTTGGTTAATCTTATTCAAAAATACGGTTAATATAATCAAGCAATAATGTTTTGATGATGGAGGTTAGGCAGTGCTAATTCAAAGATAGTGATCGGACGGTGGAGGACAAATAATGGAGGTGGTCTGATGATGGAAATTAGGTGCTGGTCTGATGAAGTTAGTGCTTGAGTGGAGCTTTATGATTCTTTATGCCTCTAATATCTCTTCATATAAGGAGTGAGTGTCAATTTATATATATTTTTTATAGTGACAAGTCTAATAAATATATCTAAAATTCATAACATTCTATTATAATATCACTATCAATTCCTTCCATCATAAAACATTTTTTTAACATTTAAGTATTTTAATAATGTTAGAGTTATGTAATTTTTAGTTCGTTGGATTCATCTCATGGAGATGCTCAATTTGACTATAAACAAACAATTTTTTGAGATCTTTTGATCCTCTAATTGATGTACCAAATTTTGAATTGTGTATTACACGCTTGACTTGGGCTCATTTGAAGTCAGATCAAGTCACTATTGGTGTTGACGGATTGGTCTCATCAAGATATTCAATTTAACTCTAAACTTGTCGAAATCAAAATTTAATTGATCTTAGATTTAATTCTAAAAATATTTAACTTAAATGTTTATGGAAATTTCTGCCCATGGTGCAAATAATTCCACTATTGCTTTGATAAACTTAATAACCTTAGCTTCAATAAATATCAAATTACGCACACAAAATAAACTGCACTGCTCGCAACGGAGATAAAACATGTTAATCGATTTGGGCGAATCCACCAGAATTCGAAGTTATGCGAGCAAAAAATAGTAATCCAACAAGGCACCGTCGGATCATTCTATCGTTTAACGATGCAATGGCCGTCAAAATTAACATTTTAGAACAAACGACAGAGATTTCGACAGCTGTCGTGCCTATAAAATGTTGTATTTAAAGGTCAGGTAGAAGTCCAACAATGGAAAGAAATCAATCTTCGCATAGACGTCCAGCGAAGTTTGATAACCGGTAGAAGTCCGGCGTTGGGTAGAAACTTGGCGAAGAGTGAAGGTCCGACGTCGGGTAGAAGTCCGACGTCTGTTGGTGGCACAGAAGAAATCCGACTTCACTTGGGCGGAGTTTCGGCATCAGGAGGGAACTATGTTGTAAATTGGGAAGAATTTTCGCATCCCATGGAAGTTAGGCAGAATTCTGGCGTTCTCCCGAATATCCGGCAGAGTTCCAGCGTCTTCAGGTGGCGGGAAGAGCTCCGGCAGTGGTCGAGGAGGAGCTTCTTCCTTCTCCTCCTTCTTCTTCTCTCTCTTCACTTGAGTCCCCTTTGTGTAGAATGAGGGCTCTATTTATAGTTTTTCTGGAGTGGCATGGCTCGTAAATAGTCTTGAGATCAGGGGTGAATTGAGAGTGGTTTGAATGGACGACTGATATCGAATCCTTTGATCATGCACCGTTCGTTGGACATTTAAAGGCCTTAATGAAGTCGAAATTTGGTGATCTTGGGCTCGTTGGATTTGTCTCGTCAAGCCGTTCGATTCGAGTATAAGATTGTTAAAATCAAAGACTGTTTGGCAACTCAAATTGTGGTTTGAACCTCCCAACAGCGCTTCAGGCCCGTGATTCGGACCCATTTGGGCTCGGATTGGGTTGAATTTGGTGTCGTTGGGTTCGTATTTCCGAGACGCTCAGTTTGACTATAAGCTCGTTGAAATCGGAGTTCAGGTGCTCCCAAATTTAATTTTTGAAAAGTTTCCGACTAGCTTTTTTGCCTCGAGATTCGTGCCCGATCAAGATAATTTTTGCATGACGTATCAATAATGTTCTACTTTTGTATAAGTTGCAATTGTGTTAGCGCAATCATGCCTGAATAAGACAATGTGAAATAACTCGAAGTAATTAATCTCAATAATATCATTTACTCGACCATAATAGTGTCATTAGTTTTTTTAAGGGTCATAGATATCCAAATTAGGGCTACCATGCCTAACTGTATTTAGGGTCCATGTGTGCAGAAGGAATATCTTGTACTTAGGTTTTCTAAAGCTAGTTAAAGCAAAGTCCTTAGGAATCTACCTAGGAGAATCTTATGAGGGAGGCTCTACACTAAAGAGAGACCTAAGCACTAAGGTTAAACTCATGAAAAATTTGTTAACCTTATTAAAAAATGGGGTTAACATAATCAAACAATAATGTTTTGACGATGGAGGTTGGACAATGCTAATTTAGAGATGGTGATCAGACGGTGGAGGAGAAACAATGGAGGGGTCTGATGATGGAAATTAGGTACTGGTCTGATGAAGTTAGTGCTTAAGTGGAGCTTTATGATTCTTTATGCCTCTAATCTCTCTTGAATCTAAAACTAAAATCCAATATCTCTTCATATAAGGAGTGAGTGTCAATTTATATATATTTTTTATAGTGTGTAAATATATCTAACATTCATAACATTCAATTATAATATCGCTATCAATTCTTTCGATCATAAAACATTTTTTTAACAATTAAGTATTTTAATAATGTTAGAGTTATATAATTTTTGGTTTGTTGGATTCATCTCATGGAGATGCTCAATTTGACTATAAACAAGCAAATTTTTGAGATCATTTGATCCTCTAATTGATGTACCAAATTTTGAATTGTGCATTACGCGCTTGACTTGGGCTCATTTGAAGCCGGATCAAGTCACTATTGGTGTTGACGGATTGGTCTCATCAAGATATTCAATTTAACTCTAAACTTGTTGAAATCAAAATTTAATTGATCATAGATTTAATTCTAAAATTATTTAACTTAAATGTTTATGGAAATTTCTGCCCATGGTGCAAATAATTCCACTATTGCTTTGATAAACTTAATAACCTTAGCTTCAATAAATATCAAATTACGCACACAAAATAAACTGCACTGCTCGCAACGGAGATAAAACATGTTAATCGATTTGGGCGAATCCACCAGAATTCGAAGTTATGCGAGCAAAAAATAGTAATCCAACAAGGCACCGTCGGATCATTCTATCGTTTAACGATGCACTGGCCGTCAAAATTAACAATTTAGAACAAACGACGGAGATTTCGACAGCTGTCATGCCTACCAAATGTTGTATTTAAATTGTCCGAACTTTCTTGGAGCGAATTCATCTCTAAGCGCATGATAGCAACTACCAGATCTCTTTAAATTTGCGCATGATGCAACTATTTTGGGAGAACGCGAGAAAAATAAAGAAGCTTCGCCGACCGGAACACGCAAAACCAACTCTCGGTGGTCGGGGCTTCCCGTTCGCTAACACTTCGTCGTACCCCCGCTTTGCTTTCTCTCCCTCCAGAAGCAGCGGCAATGGCTGCCGCCAACCTCACCTTCATTTCCCCCTTGAAACCTAACCCTACCTCTTATTCACACCATTCAAGAAATTACCAGCTACGCCCTTGCGCTTCGTGGTCTCCGCGCTCCGGATGCGAGCCTCGGACAGATTTGAGGCGAAGTGATTTCTCAAAGCGATGCTTTAGGGCTCGGCTAATCTTATTGGATCGGCGGTTTCCGCGTTTTCTTCCGTTAGCTGCGCATGAAGATTCGGTGATGCATTTCTCCATATGTCTCAGCTGTTTGCATTTGCTCTGCTAATTTGTTTTAGGGCTCATTTGGTAGGTATGAGTAGAGAATTAGTTTTAGAAAATATTGATTTTTTTTTACTCATTTTAAGTGTGAAAAATGAAATGATTGTTTTCTAGCTGCATACAGAAAAGCATGTTTTCTAAATTAAAGCAAGGCAAGGAGCCCTTATGAAATTTGAATGAAATGGATTTGTTTATAAGTTTAAAAAATGTTTTTTTTGTTGGATTTGGATTGTTCTTTGGTGGATATAAATTGAGATTTTTTGGTGCTTTGCCTTAGTTTTTGTGTCAGTTCTTTGGGTTTGAGCGTTGATGAAGTGTTGTTATGGCATATTTTGTTGCTTGTAGATATAAAAAATGTTTTAGAAAATAATAATTTCATTCTCACCCTTTTTGTGTGAAATTGAAATCATCACATTTGAGGAATTGGGGGTGTTTGTAGAGTTTTTAAACATTATTTATTTTTAATTGCTTCCAACCAAATGATTGAATTGATTAAATTCATTGTTTTTCAAAGCATGTTTTTTAACTTATATCAAATTTTCAAGGAAAAACGTTTCATTTTATATTTAAAAAGTTAATTTTTGTTGGATTTGGACTGCTCTTTGGTGGATATAAATGGAGTTTTTTTGGTACTTTGCTCTTAGTTTTTCTGATCAGCTTTTAAGGGGTGGTTATTGATAAAGTGTTATTAGGACTTATTTGGTTGCTTGTAGATATAAAGCATGTTTTAGTATTGATGATTTTATATTCCATTATTTTATGTGAGAAATTGAAATCATCACATTTCAAGGATTTTGAAGGTGTATTCAGAGTTTAAAAACAATATTGATTTCTAATTTCATCCAACCAAATGAAGGAATCTACTAAATTCATTGCTTATTCCAAACATGTTTTTTGAATTCAAACAATTTGAAATGAAAGTGATTTTGTTTATGCATTCAAGAAATGTAATTTTATTGACTTTGAACTATATTTTGGTGGCAATGATTTGTGATCATTTGTTATTTATAGCTTTTATTGTCTTCTTGGGGGAGGATAAAGTGTGTTACTAGAGAAAAAAAGCCAATAAGTTTGCTAAGCCAGATTCTGAGCTGGGCTGATAGATTTACTTTGAGGTGTCCTCTAATGTTTGATATGAATGTTGTTTATCATTGTCATGGAGATCTTTGTAGGCTATGATATATAAATTTAGGAGTATGTAAAATTAAAATGCTTTAGGTTTTTTATGTGCAAGTGAGACAACAATGTGGACATTGATTTACCACCTTATTTGCTAATTTAGAATCTTTCTAATAGTCTGAGAATTAACTGTGATGGTTAGCGACTTAAAATGCTCCTTATTTTTGCATAGCCTTTAAGTCGCCTTTCGTCACGGACAAGATGCTTTAATTAAATAAACTTATCTTTGGCTGATATTTCATCAAGTTTTTCTTAGATGTTTTTTCTTTCTCTGTCTTATCTTTTCTATATAGATACAGAATCCTTCAGATATAGAAGTGGAAAAGGGCAATGAACTAAAAATTAAAGAAGAAGCTTCACAGGAAGCATGGAAACAGACCCTTGAATCTTTTAAAGAGGAAGCTAAGAAGATGAAAGGGATATCACAGGAAGTATACGATTTATACTCAAAGAAAGCAATTGCATTATTGGAAGAGACCTCTGAAGTTTTGAAGATTCAAGCGGAGAAAACAAGGCATGATTTAGGTATAATAGCAAAAGAAATAAGTCAAGAAGGTCAAGTTTATCTCTCGACAGCAGCAGTGAATTCTCCTGAATCTGTTAAAGATATAGTGGAAACTTTTGCTTCTTTACCCAATGAGTTAAAACAAGGTTCCACAGTCCGTGACTTTCACCTTGGCATTCCTTATGGTATGGATCTGCAGTAGATCAACTTATAGTGGAAATTTACTTTATAGGAGCAATACACAACATAATTTACTTACGTGCTGTTCCAGGCACTTGCAATTCCTTACATGAAAACAAATTTCTTTGTAGGTGCGCTTCTTGCTATTGGCGGTTTTCTAAACTTTATGCTGACAGGAAGCATACCCTCTGTTCGCTTTGGTGTTATTCTTGGTGGTTCACTGTTGGCCCTTAGTATATCAAGTTTAAGATCTTGGAAGAGCGGAGAACCTTCACGACTATTTTTGAAAGGGCAGGCTGGTTTGTCCATACTCTATAGCATCAATCTTTAAATATATTTTTTTTCCATTATCTTAATTACATATAGAGTTTGTTTGATTGCTTGAAATTTCTCACTTGGTTTCTTAAAGCTGTTCATTTGAGTTGTTTGCTCAATGTTTTTTGTTACAACAAAAGGCCCAAACTCGTCTCTTTAGATTTGACTTATGTTAAGAAAGGTAGAGGCAGCCTAAAAAAGACTTGGTTAGAAAATATTAGAAATGATCTTTCTTTATTAGATTCAAATGAGAATTTGACTTTTAACAGGGCACAATGGCGAAAAAAGATTCATGTAGCCGACCCCACTTAGTGGGACAAAGGCTTGATGTTATTGTTGTTGATTAATCTCGGAGAAATAAACAAACAATATACAAAAATATGATAGAAAGCAATAAACCCAATCGCACATGTGAATATCAAGTTTGACATAGTTCAATCAAGAATGACTTACATCCATGAGATGTGGAGGTAAAAATAAATCTGCTATCAATTGCATAAATGAGCACAAAATGAGAGGTCTAACCAACAATGCAAAGTCTTCTCATCAGAAAACTAACAATGAGGGTGGAGAAGATCTTGCCAAAATTTGTACAATTTTTCTCTAAGAGAAGAGCCTATGAGAATAGAGAAAGTGTTCCTTTCTCATGCGAAATCACCATGAATGAGATCTCGATAGATTGCTCATGCTTGTGATTTCTACCTCTATCTATACATCTATTCAATGGTCTGAGAAGAATTGCTGAAACTCTTACCTTCTTGACGGTAGAATTGTGCAATTCTTCGTGTATATCAATCCTATGAAGCACCTCCTTGTCCTTATTTTATTTCTCAATCTTGTTCAACATATAGATACGAATATGCTTAGGGCCTTTAAGATAATTACTAAAATGGCTTCTTTTATTTCATATAATAATTACAATCCCTCCTATGACACCCCCCATTTCAACAAAAGAATAAAATGGATAACTATGGTAGCTCAAATTACCAAAGCCTCCTCAACCAAAGCAGGGAAGGGAGTCAACAATTGTGTAAACCAATAAAGTCTAGCTATTGCTTAGTTTTGAGAACATGGATAATGTTGTTAAGCATGTTATGAGATTGCATGTTGTACATATCTTTTGAGCTGAAACATCTTTATCTTCACCCTTCTCACTAATAAAAGTGTTATTGAAGATCCATATATTTGGTTCTCTCATAACACACGTGATTAACACTCCAACTATTAGAAGATTGAGCTTTCATGGTTCAAGCTCAATCTTATACTAAGGCTTCGTTTATTATAATTTTTTTTTTATAATTATTTTGTAAAGCTACTATAGAGAAAGTAACCTTTTAAAGCTATTGTGTAAAACAGCTTCCTAGCACAAATGTTTTTTGAAAATAGCGAAAAGTAGTGGCCAAACAAAAATTGTGGTTGCGGTTTGAAAAGCAATGTAGTAAGAAAGCTGTACCAAATAAAGCCTAAGTCCCAACAAAATAGCTCCTTTAAAAGCTTGAAAATTTTTATATACCTTGCTTCTAAACAAAACAATTATAGGTTGAAGACAAATCATCATCTGATGGCACATCTAGAGAGACTGAAGGCATACTTAATCTAAGACCCTCTCCTATCTCGATCACTAGCATAATATTAATTAGAAAATCTGACAACATTTTTTTAATAAGATCTATGCCTACAATAAACCCTAATTTGCAGCGCTTTTGAGATACCTCAAGTTTTATTTCATTGTTTGCTAATGAGCTTAAATAGGCTTTTCCATTTATCTGCTCACTATATTGCTAATATATAAAATTTCAAGACGTTTGTATATTATAGTATACATGATACTTCCAAGCACGTTAGCATCTGACACTGTAATAAAAAACTTTTATTTTTTTGATGACTAGGGAGAAGTTGTCAACAAGTGAAAATGACTAGCTAGTGAGAAGGTGACAAGTTTTAGTTGCATTCTAATATCTTCTCAATATATCTTTATTGTGTTAGACATAATATTTATGACTATTTTCATCCCTAAAATTTTCTTAACAACACCAATACCTTTTATCTTAAATGCTACAGTCAAAGCAATTTCTAGTTTTGGGATTTTACAATGAACATATCAGCAACATATAAGAGAACATATATACAAGTGATATTAATAAAATTCTTGTGGTACAATCAATTAGAAAATCAGATTCTCTTGCCAAATTTTATGTATTAATCAGTGGGAGATTGCTTCAGGCTATGTAGAGACTTATTTAGTAGATACACCTGATCTTCTTCTTTTTATTTTTGGAAAAATCAATCCTTAGAGGTTGTTATGTGTAAGTCACATCATTTTAATCACCTGAGAGAAAGACTATTTTCACATCAAGGTGCTCAAATTCCAACTTATTCATTGCAACCACTATTAATAAAGTACTGTTTAAAATAGCATAATATGAGGCGCGTCTTAGCGCAATTCCCATATAAAATGCCTTGAGGCGCATGACTCGGGCATTTCTTTTGAGGAGTGCACTACAACTTACTGAGGCATGCCTTCCCTCATTGAATTGAGGCTGACGTCTCTATTTTTTTTTACTTAAAATTTAAATCTTAAAAGTAAAAACTATTCAACTAACCTAATCAACCCAGGGCCCCAGTCAAAAACCTCTTAGAGCTCCAGCTCACCTTCATTGAGGCTCGCCACGCTTCGTTGAATTGAGATTTATGCTTCTATTTATTTTTTCTTTACTTAAAATTTAAAACTTCAAAAGTAAAATCTATTCAACTAACTTAAATAGCCCCAAGGCTCCAGTTGAACATTTCGTTCACACACCCAACCTTCTACTCGTGAGCTCCAGCTTGCTGCTAGCCTTCCATCGGCGCTATAGCAATCGCCGCCGTCAGGGATCACCTACGAGACACACCACTGCCACCTCATCTTCTGACAAATTTATTTCCTCATCAAGTATTCTTCATTCCTTTACAAATTTTCTCACTAAAATTTTTAAATTTTCATTTTTATTTCTAACCTTAATATCATTTGGCTAACTTGATTTTGAAACCCTAACTCAATTTAATTAACATTTTTTTTTTCAATTTTTGGAAACCCTAATTCTTTTAGAAATCTTTAATTTTTTTTAACCTTAATGTCATTAGGTTAGCCATTCATTTTTTTTTTCAATGCATAGTTTCCAACAATTTATATTAGATGACTAAATTGATGTTGATTTAATTTTTGTTTTTGATTTAGTGACATATCAATTTAGTTTAGTATATAATAATATTTTTTATGAGGATAACATTAGTGACTTATTGATTTGAAAATGTGATTTTGGTGGGCATGAAATGGAGGATAGGACTTTTGTTTTTTCATGGATATAGTTGTAGATCCTTTGTGATGCAATCTTTTATGGACCTAATTCAATTGAGCTTTCTCTTATTTGTGTTTTATTCATTTAGTAAACAAGCTAAGAATATATACAAGTCTTTTTGAATGAGAATATGATGTATGTGGAATTTAAATGTAGTGATATTGTTTAATTTGAACACTTTATTTTTGTTCTTAACTTATTATTGAACGTTTTGTAGAGAATTGTTAGAGGCAAGGATAAAACCACGTCGGGTCTGGTAATGATCCGACGTGGAAACATAGTATTCAAGTTCATGTGGGAGGCAGCGATAAGACGTATGTGTATTTAAAATGTAATTATTGTGAGAAGATGGTGAAGGGTGGTTTCATTATGAGGAAGTAGCATCTATTTGGATCCCATAAGAATATGGCTCCATGTGCCAAAGTGCTCGATATAGTTCAAGAGGATATTAAAATATATATGAATAAGTCAATAATGTCACAAAAATAGTTTGATGATAGAGTTAATGTTGACTTGTACTATGGGAGTGAGCGTAGTGGTCGTCGGGACTCATCATCGTCATTGCAACCTATGTCTTGTAGGGGTGGAAGGTGTCCCATAGATCAGTACATGACGAACATGATGCATGATATAACGGTAATGGACCTTTTGCATCATAGAAGCTGACCCTTGAGATTGCTAGGGAGCTACGAATACAAGTATGCATGTATATATGGAATTTTTTTATGAGAATGCTATCCTGTGTAAACATTGCAACCTCCCTTGCTTACTACAATATGATCTGCTTAGTTGGAGCCTGTGAGCGAGGGTTGAAACTTTCGTTCATGTATGATTTAAGGACATGAGTTTTGACGGAGGAGTTCACAAATAATAAGGAAGTCATTGAGGAAATCAAGAGGGCTTGAAGCCAGACAAGGGTGGCTATCATGTATGATGGATGGTCAACCATAAATAATAGAAGCTTCATAAATGTATCGATCAGCAACTTTTCGGGACAATATTCTTGAAGACCATTGAGGCATCTGATTAGATAGAAGATGCATTTTTTTTTAGTATTTGATAGTGTTATTGATGAAATTCAAGAGCACTTTGTGGTTTAAGTTATGATAGATAATGCTAGTGCTTATAGGGCTGGAAGTCCAAATCTTATGGAGAAGATGGAACACTTATATTGGACTACATGTGCCTCTCATTGCATAAACCTAATCCTTAAAAAAAATTGGGAGCTGCGACAACATAAAAATGAACTGACAAAAAACAAAAAAAAAAATATAAATTTATTTATAATCATTATGGGGTTTTGACACTTATGAGAGTTTCAAAAAAAAAAAAGATAAAAAAAAGAATTACCGAGGCTGGTTGTATTACCGGCTTTTTTGAAGCATATTTTTGTATTTACTAGAGCAACAAGCATGCATGACTGTCTGCAAATTGGATCTACCTTGCTAATTCAAAAACTACAACCTTAACACTGAGTTTGACAGCCCGCTGCTTGTATTTCAAAGAAGATTTTGAAAAGTTGGCAATGCTCTGTATTTGATTGTTAGTTAATATTTTGTAGAAGTCAACCGGCACATATATGTTGAAAAGATTATCAAACTTGACGTTCATTATTAATCAAATCTGTTAAGATACCATTTCCGTATATTTTCCTACTTTCATTAAACAAAATCTCAGAACTAAGCTTTTGGTGTTTCAGGTTTGAAGATTGATTTTTTTTGTTTTTGACATGTTAATTTGAATTTTGTCTTCTAATAAAAAAATTTCTTTATGCAGCAATTGCAACAGTTATATTTATAAGGGAATGGCGGTTGTTTTCAAAGGTACAACTTTGTCACTTGCAAAGAATAAAATGACCATATACATTAAATTCGTTGATTAATGTGGCGTTCCCTCTTATTATCTGTTTTCTCTTGCAGATTAGATCCTTCCCAACTTTCTTGATGACTTTCATAAGGTTAATTTTCTTAAAACCTCGTGAGAGGCCTTTTTTCAGTGATGATGCTTTTTATGTGTTTATAATGCTACTAGCAGAAATTTTTAATTTGGATATTTATAATTTTCATTATAATTCAACTGGATCAAGTCAATCCGTATTTTGTTTTATTAGTTTGTTCTTTGGCTTGGGCATTCAGTCAAGTATATTTTTTTGACGAGTCAGCGAACTATTTAGGGTAGTGAGGCCTGCAATGCTTTATGGTGCCGAATGTTGGCCATTAAAAGAGAAGCATAATACTAAGTTAAGTGTGGCAGAGATGAGGATGCTTAGATGGATGAGTGGCTTTACCCTTAGAGATAGGATACGAAATGAGCATATACGTGAAAAGGTTGGAGTAGCTCCAGTAGAAGATAAGATTAGAGAGAGTCGCCTTAGATGGTTTGGTCACATAAAAAGGCGGCCTTCCGACGACCCAGTTAAGAGAGTAGAGGTATTAGATTTGACTTATGTTAAGAAAGGTAGGGTAGACCTAAAAAGACTTGGTTAGAAAATATTAGGAATGACCTTTCTTTATTAGATTTAAACGAGAATTTGGCTTTTAATAGGACACAATGGAGAAAAAGGATTCATGTAGCCGACCCCACGTAGTGGGATAAAGGCTTGATGTTGTTGTTGTTGTTGTTGTTGTAGCGAACTATTAATGGAAGAGCATGTAATTTTGAAATATGTCTCAAAAGCTCCTTATGATTATATGAATCTGTCATCATCATCATCACCATAAACATTATCATAATCATCATTATCCTTATATCAACTATTTTGGATGGATTTATGATCCCTCATTCTCCATTCATCATTGTGTGGCACAAGAGATGTTCCATGTTAATAAGATTTTGTGCAAAAATTTTCTTACAGAACATCTAGTAATGTTACCTTTTGGTTGCCATCTTTCCTTTATAATTCTTGCATCTATTTTATCTACTAGTTTGATGTATCTTTTACCATCCATTCATCCATTGTGCTTATTTATTATTTTCTTATTTCTAACGTGTGCTACTTCCACCATCCGTCTAATAAATCATTTTTAAATCTATCCTTTTGCTAGATACAATAAAAATTTTATTTATTGAAAGTAGCATTTTCTTGTCCACATGTCTGAATGAAGAGGAACTACAAAATAGTAAGGATAACATCCAAATAATTCTATGCAACTAGAAAAAATATTTCCCTTAGATTTCATTGACTCGATGGAGCGTCCACCCATGCATTTATCTTATGAGACGAGTGTTGATAATCTCATTCAATATCATTGAATGGTATGTAAATTTATGGACCATATTTTATTAAATAACTGAAGATGAGTTTCCCACATAGTTTAGGTCGTATGTCTTTTTTAAAAAGAACTCTTTCTACTACTTGAGAATTTATAACTAACTAAAAAAAAAATTATTTTTTAAATATATATGTTATTTGGAATGAAAATTCACTATTAGTATATTTTTATGGAGTGATCTAATGCCTACACCATTTAGTTGTTTATCATATAAAATATTAAATTCATTAATTGAATAAGCATTTTCCTAAAGGATTTGTTCTACACTTGTTTGAATGAAAAAGTATTATTAAAGAGTGAGTAAAACATCCCAATAATCTAATGCAAACTAAAAAAAAAATATTTCCCTCGGATTTATTTGACTAGATGGAGCATTCACTTATGTCATTAATAATTGAAGACAAGTTATATGAAGCTCAATCCTCCAACAATAAGCTTCGAAGAAATTACAATTGAGAAATTTCTTTGTACAAAGTGGTTGCATTGACAAAATAAATGAATGTACACAATGTTGCTAGGACAATGAGTGTATAAAATGAATTTGTGTGAAGTGTTGGTCATATAGTCTATAGCTCCTTGATCAAGAATCTAGGAGCTATAATTGGGTACTTATGAGAATTTAAAAGCATGAGTAGAGGAAGTAATGCCTAAGAATACAAGAGTAACTACTTGTCGTAGGAATCTTTTCTAGTGATGCTAACAAGTTTTTCAATTTTTTTATTTCTTCTTTGGGGAATCACAATGCTTGTCTCAATTCTTTTACCCGTTTTCCTTGTGTTGTCCAGTTTTTTGCTTGGTGGTTTACCATGAAGCTTCCAAAAACTTCCCTTTATATGTCAAGCTTTTTTTTAATATGCGGGCCATAGAGACCATCATTGTTGGATTTGGTTTCTTGTTTTATTTGGAAAAAGAGGATTTAAATTGAAGTGCTTTGATGCTAGCAGCTTTTGTTAGCAAGGCTATTACTGGTAATCATGACTAACTTTCTCTCTTCTTTTGTTCGGGTAATATAATGGCTTCATTTAGTGAAAGGTAAATCCTCCTTTCCAAGAATTTGATCTTTTAACCAACCTTTTCAGGGCTGCATTTTTTGTTACCTTCTATTTGTATGCACTGAAAATGGTCTATCTCTTACCAATTGTCTTATAATAGATTGGAATATTCTTTAATAGATTGCCCTCCTTACTTGACCTTATAGATTTGGATCGCATTATGAACTTTAGAATGTATTTAGTTCACTATAGCCTATATTTTCTTTGCTGAATTAAGGAACATGCAAATTGTCACCTATCATAAGCACCATGGAGTGCCATACCCAAAACATCGCCATAGAGTTCTTGTTCATCCTAAGCATTGAACATGAGTTTGTATTGCGGAGGTATGGCACCAAGTGGCCTAATTTCCTCTTACCTTCGAGAATGTGGGAACCAATTATTACAACTTGAGGTAGTTATTTTTAGGGTTGTCAATACTAGACCCAACCCGAAACCGACCTGAAAAATTTCATGTTTTGGTCAACCTATTTACCAGGTTGGTTTGGTTTGGGTTGACCCGGAAACCCAAAATCAACTCAAAAATAGCCCGGGTCACCCATGGCCCGTAGTGATCCCACGCTCGCCCTCATCTGCAGCGCTCCAGCCATCTTGCGCTTGCACCCACACTCTGTAGCGAGCCCTCTAGCATTCGCTTCTGCACCGCACCCTAACTTGCGCTCTCCGCCTCGCCTGCCCACACCTCCTTCGCTCGCACATACTCGCACCATAACTCTTTCGTGTTTGGCTATATTCTTGGTTAGCGGGTCTGGTCGGGTCAACCTGTTGAATTGGACCTGGGTCAATTTTAGGTTCGAGTCGAATACCTATTTTGATACATTGGATGGAAATTGTGGTAGCAATTTGTTTGCAAAGAGAAAAGAGGGATAGAAACAAGACTCCAATGTTAAAAGCTTCAATTATGAGAGAAGTAGACAGAAGGAAGAGAATTGTGATAATGAAGGCTGTGGGATCTTGGCAAGGCAAGGTTGAAGGCCACAATTTATGGAAATGCAAGGAAACGAAGAGCCTAAAGGTCAAATATCATTATAAGAATTGGAAGAAATTGATTTTCATTAACCTCTATTAGAAAATATATAACATTAAGGAATTGAAAAATAAATACAAAATTAATTACAATTAGGATATTTTATGGATTGGTGTGGTGGCAGCAAATATATCATGAATCAATGAGATGGCATGGAGAGAATAAGGGAGGTGAATGACTGATTGTAGCAACTGGGCGTTAGAATAGTTGGCGGTAGTAGGGAAGGTAGAGAGGGTGGTGGGTGTTGTGGTGGTGCTCCCGTTTGGCTAGATATGCATAGAGATGGAGGTCCATCTATTGGCATGCTGGATCATAGTAGTCCAGAGGTGGATATGCAGGGATTTGATTTTACACGTTTATATATTACATCTAGGTATCACTTATTCTTTCAATAATATTAATTAATAATTATTAGTTTCAATCTTCTAAATATACAGTTCTTGTATTCAATCTTTATTTTACAAATTCTAAGTCCTTATATCCTTTCCATTATTTATAATTTTTACTTATTTCAAATAAGTTCTCGCCTATAATGGTAAATTGATAAAAAATGCCTTTGGAAGTTATTGCAATTTGGTATTTTCTCTTTCTTTTTGATGTAGAACTTTTGTTTTAATAACTTAATAAGGAGTTACTGTTCTATATGATTCAAGTGCAATTAACTAATTGTTAGTTGGTGGAGCCCATTTTTCTCCTTGCTAGTTAGAACCAAAATGTATTATAAAGGAAATTTAGATGATTTGACGCAAGCCTGTAAATGCACCAACGGATTATTTTAAAAAACTTGGGATTAAGGAAGATTCAACTCCTACTGATAAAGGGAGGCACCTTTGTTTAGTAGAGAAGTTTATTTATGTATCCCATAGTAGATGTAATATTTATTTTCCTGTGAGTGTTGTTAGTCAATTTATGAATAACTCCACAAAGGAGCACCTTGATGTTGTATATAAGATAAGGTATCTTGAGAAGACACTAGGATAGGGACTTAGTAAAAAAAGAGACTAACACAACAATAATGACATCAAACCTTTATCCCATTATGTGGGGTCGGCTACATGAATCCTTTTTCCCCAGTGTGTTCTATTTAAGAGTCAAATTTTCTTTTAAATCTATTAAAAAAGTTCATTTCTAATACTTTCTAAACAATTCTTTTTAGGTCTACCTCTATTTTTCTTAACACATGTTAGATTTAATACATCTACTCTCCTAACTAGGTCATTAGAAGGCCAACATTTTTTTTGTCCAAACCATCTAAGATGACTCTCTCTGGATATACTCCAACCTTTTCACATATATACTTGTTTCACATTCTGTCTCTTATAATTAAGCCACTCATTCACCTGAGCATCTGCGTCTTTGTAACACTTAATTTTATCCTTTTATTTTTATGGCCAACATTCTGCCCCATAAAGCATTGCACTTGTCATCATATTGTAGAATTTTCCCTTAAGTTTGAGACGTTCATTTCTATTACACAACTAACATGATGCATTCCTCCACTTCAACCATCCAACTTGAATTATACTAGTAATATTCCCATCTATTTCACCATCATTTTGAACAATAGATCTGATATATCTAAAACATCCATTCATTAGATCTATTACTGCTAAAATTACACTCAATGTATTCGGTTTTAGATCTACTCAAACGAAAACCAATAGACTATAAAGTTGACCTCCATAATTCAAGTTTTTTTTATTAAGTCCCTACTCCCTCTCTAAAAAGGGGATTGACACAAGTATAGAAATTTTCATTGATGTTGACTAGGCAAGATCTAAACTATTTATAAATTTGCATATGCTTATTGCTCGTTTATGTGAAAAATTTTAGTTACATGGTGAACTAAGAAACAATGTTTTTTTCTCAAATAGTGTTGAGTTAGAATTTATGTAGGATCGTATTGCTACAGAGAAAAAGGAATCATGTAGCCGTAAAGGCTTGATGTTATTGTTGTTGTAGTGTTGAGTTAGAATTTAGATCAATAAAGTTATGTGGCTTATATATCTTATTGAAGATTTTAAAGTTACCACAAAAGGATTAGTGACAATGAGATGTGACATTCAAGTTACAATTAAATTTGCTAGCAATCCTGTCGTCCTTGATATGAGTAAATGCATTGCGATTGATAGACACTTTATAAAGGAGAAAAGTGAACAAGAGATCATCTAAATTAGACGTAACAAGAAAATGATAAACTATTGACATTCTTAATAAATCTTTTAATCAATTGCAAATTGACAATCTTATTTTCAAATTTGGAACGATCAACATATATTTCTAGAATGAAGGCGACTCTCTCTAATCTTATCTTTCACTGGAGCTACTTCAATCTTTTCACATATATGCTCATTTCGTATCTTGTCTCTAAGAGTAAAGTCACTAATCCACCTGAGCATACTCATCTCTACAAACACTTCACTTAATATTATTATTATGCTTCTCTTTTAATGGCCAATATTCTGCACCATAAAACATTCCAGGTCTAATCACCATTTTATAGAATTTTCCCTTAAGTTTCAGGGAGACTTTTCTATCACACAACAAGCTCGATGCATTCCTCCACTTTAACCATCCAACTTGAATTCTACTAGTAATATCCTTATCTATTTCACTATCACTCTGAACAATAAACCCAATATATCTGGAGTGAGTACTCTTATTAATGACTTAATTACCCAAAGTCACAATCTTTCCATTCGATCTATTATATTAATTACACTCCAAATATTCAGTTTTAAATCTACTCAAACGAAAGCCTTTAGACTCTAAGGTTGACCTCCATAATTCAAGTTTGCCTTTAACTCCCTTTCTAGTCTTATCAACAAGAAGAATATCATTAGCAAAAAGCATACTCCAGGGTACAGCCTTTTGCAAATGTCTAGTGAGAAGATCCATGACTAAAGAAAAAAAAATGAGCTTAAGGATGGTCCTTGATGTAATCCAATTGAAATAGGAAAATACTTGGTCAAAACCACCTTGTTTTTAAAACAAAACAACTCCTGCATATATAATCTTAATGACATGAATATAAGCATTATTAACTCCTTTCTTTTCTAGAACTCTCCATAGCACTTCTCTTGAAACTTTATCATATGTTTTCTCTAAATCAATAAATATCATATGTAGATCCTCTTTATTCTCTCTATAATTCTCCATCAAACCTCTCAATAAATGTATAACTTTCATAATAGACCTACCCGGCATGAATCCAAATTGATCTTGAGAAACATTAGTATCGCGCTACAACCTATAGCACCTCACAATTTTTTTAAGGCCTTCTAGAAATAAGAAACAAAGTTGTCATTTCTATCAGATGTTATGTTCTTAGGTAACGATTGTAATATAACTATTGTCTGAAATAAAATTTTACCATATAAGATGTATCAATACTCTTGGAGCGTATAACTAAGTGGGCCATTTCAAAAAATCTAACTGGTAGCACTTGTATAGTATTATGGTCATGAATAATCTTTTAGGTAAATTCGAATATAAAATTCATAGACAAATCAACCATAGGAATCTTAACGGATAGGAAGTGAAGTGTATATGCAAGTTCATTGCTTAATACTTTTTCCATTTGGCATGCATGACGTTTGCTAATTATCTTAGCAAAATCTCTTCTTAATGAAGTATAATAATTCGTAGCAAATGTATGATTTTATTCCGACCAATGTGATCTATCATGCTACCATCATGCAATCCCCAGATAATATGATCGTGAAGATAAGTCCTAGAAATGCTGTCTGCTACCTTTATAAGAATAAATCAGGTGAATGTCATGTCAAGGTATATTACATACTAACCTTTCATTCTGTCAAAATCAAGCACATTAAGAGGAGAAATTATTACATGCGGAGTCCAGACGGGGAGAACCGTTCAGATTTACTGTGTATTTACTGAGTATTTGCAAATACTCAGCAAAATATTCAGTTGTGAGTATTACTGAGTATTTTTTGAGTATTTGCTGAGTATTTTTTGAGTGTTCGCAGAGTATTTTGTGAGTATTTGCTAATTTACTGTGTATTTATTGAGAAATACTCAGCAAATACGTAGCAATCCGGACGGTTCTTCACGTCCGGACTCCACACAGAATAATTTCTCCATTAAGAGACCTAGGATGGTGCACCAATAATTTCTTTTGAAAAGGCGTATGTTTGAAACAAAAGTATATTTCTAAAGGTATTCAGTTCACTTGTCATGCCAATTACTCGCCTTCTTGTGATTATTTTTGTATATTAAGGCCTAGTGCATATTATTGATAATGGATTGCTTTGATAGAAAATAAGGTCGCCAACATCTAACGCTTAAATGAGAGTATTAAATTCATTTTCATGCGTAGATATTTTTGTTGAAGTAAATCACATAGAGGCATCACAAGATATCTTAAAAACTTTCCCAAAATTAGGGAGTTTCAAAACTAGCCATGCAATCAATAATTTTGAAATGTTTATTTTTTTATAAAGTTCTTTTATGCTGAATTTCAATGTTCTCCCGAATTGAATATTTTCTTTTATTCTGCTCATTCTTTTACACCCTTTTTGCTTTTTAAGCTTTTTTCCATTAAGTGTACTTTTAACTCATCCATGCAGTGGAACGATGCTAGCATTCTATGCGTATAGGCTAATAGTCGGTGAAAGCACAGAAGGTTCAAGTTTGGATGAAAGCCCAGAAAAATAACAAGAAGCTAAATGAGGTCTGAATCTCTTGTTTTGTTTTACAAATCTCTGCTCCTATTTCTACTTATACAAAATGATTTAGGAGATGGTTGATGGGAATCATTTGATCGATTTTCTAATCTTCTGAAGGATTGCTCCTGAGTTATGGATATATACTGCATTTGGCGGTTGGAAGAAATCAAAATGGTGCTGTATTAGTTCATAATATATTTTGATATTTTAGATTTTTTTTTGTTCTGTTTCTGTCAGTTCATGCTATATATGCTTGTAGATTCAGAAATTCTTGAGAAATTGCTCTTATGGTACAGTTGTTTGTTCTTACTTTGGGATCAAATTACACTAATAATTGCAGTAGAGATTTTAGTAAGAAGTTCTAAGTGCCTTCATGTTTGAGCTCATGTTGTGTTATTAAATCTTTATCCTTATTTGTAGGAGAAAGCGATGAACATATAGAATTCCGTTGTCCTGGCTAAAAATTGTTTACTAGGGAAAGGGTATCTAGGGCTGGATCACTATTTGGTTATTTTTAAAATTTTTTGTGATGAAAAATATTTTTTTATAATAAGATTTCTTAGAGTACGGTGTTGGCAAAATTAATGTTTTTTTTTTTAATTATAATAATCAAAAGAACTTCACAATTATTTTACCAGGGATGTCAATGAATTAGCAACCTGAACTCGATCAGAAAAAAATCAAATTGGATAACCTGCAGGTCGTGTTTTAATCAAATTTGGATAACCTGTTAATTTAAAATTTTATATAATTTATATGATAAATAGATCAAACAAATTAAATCCAAGTTCATAGAGGTTGAATGCATATGAAATGCTTTTGCTCGTTTGTCGGATTCAATTCGAAATGAGCATATACGTGAAAGAATTGAAGTTACTCTTGTGGAACATAAGATTAGAGAGCCGTCTTAGATAATTTGGTCACTTAAAATGAAAGCCTTCCAATGATTTGATTAGAAAAATAGATTATTAAATCCGATGAATATATTAAGAAAGATGGATATAGACCGACAAAAACTTGATTAAAAAATATTACAAATGATATTTTTTTTATTAGATTTAAATAAAAATTAATTTTTAATATGACACAATAGCATGCAGCTGATCTCACATAGCGAAACAAGCTTAATGTTGTTGTTGTGGTCCTATTTTAAGTCAAATTTGAACCCAATCCAATATCTCCATATTTTGAAGACATTTGAGACCACCCAAAACTAACTCCAAATGATGCTTTGTACAAAGCTGATCACTTTTACTTAAAAGCTTTGTTTGATTCAGCTATGTTGATTCTATCTAAAAAAATCCTAAACCCATAAAACACTTCTCATATTAATTTATAAGCTGATAAATAAGATAATTATGAAAATAATTTTCTCACAAAATTTTTAAAAAACAAAACATAACTTTACCAATCAAATGCTACATTTTTTAAGGATCATTTAAGCTAACTAAAACAAACTCATATACACAATTATTAGCTAACACTTCCAACTTCCAACCAACAGATCAAAATATTCTCCATATCAAATGCTACATTCATTCACACCAAAAATTTGGAACAACATTTAACCATTACAAAGCTCATTTAGCCAGTTCTCCCAATACATACAATTCTTCCCGAAAACCTTCATCAACTAGAATTCTATTACCTTAACCAAGCTACAACCATATATTCCTTTAGAAAAAACTCAGTAAATAACTCATAATATCACCATTATTTTCTCACATTATTGCCATTCAGTCGGCAACAATCTACCCAAACACTAGAGATAACACATACACCTCATCTATAGAGAGTTTGCAAGTTCTACAAGGAATACAGAACCAGCCTCTCATGAAGAGATTTTATACCATTTCATTAAACTTAATCCCCCCATGGTGTAGAGACCTCTAATGAGTAGGAATTCCAGTCTTTTCTGCTCTTCTTCTAAATATCAGCATGGTGGGTGCGAGTTGTTGGAGCTTCTCCATGGCTGTCCAATGGCATGTACTGTGCCATGATAGCACGAATCTCCGAGTCCATGTAACTCTGTAACATATCAAGAAAATAAGGAATCATTGGACAGTGCGTTGGATGAAGAGAAGCCATGAGTACTCCTTAAAATGAAGTTTTACTAGAAGAAACACATTGCACTTGTGGTAGAAAGAGACAAAGGCTTTGTTTGGGGCGACTTTCTTGTTGCTTCTTAAAGAAGCTTTCTAGTAGCAAAATTTTAATTTTTTAACTAGAAAGCTGCTTTAAGAAGCAGCAAAAAAGCCATCCCAAACAAAGCCAAAATTTCAAGAAAATGGGAGCTGTAATCTGGTTTTAAGATTGTTTACCCGGATCCTGTACTTGTAGACTGCGTATCCTCCAACTCCAGCTACAGCTAAGCCAAGGAAAATGAGCCACAAGAAGCTCCAGCTAAGCTCTGCAGTTGCCTTCTTGCCTGTAACTCATTTTACAACGTGATAACATAGGTTGTTTAGGATGTGTGGGTAGCAATAGTAAAAGATAGCTTAGGTTGGTTGATTGCACATGATCTCAATAAAAAAGAAAATTATAGGGACTCAATATCCATGAAGCATACAAACTGGCATAAGGAATCGAAATAGGGAAAAAAGTTTAAAATAATCCACCTATTATTCTAATGCGACCAACTTAGCCTCAAAGTATTGCATTTCTCCAATTTAACTCATCGTGTATATAAACTTGATATCAAATAGTCCCTCGGGGGATTAAATTGGAATAAATTTCATATCCAATTCACATCAATTTCTAATTGAGGGATCATTTGGGATCAATTTTATGATGAACTGGATGATCATTTTATGATGAATTGGATTGGACTGTTCAACTATACAAGATTGATCTCAAATGAGTACCTAAGGGATTAAATTGAGATCAATTTTGAATAGTTGGACTATATTCGGATCAATTTTGTATAGTTGGACTATATTCGGATCAATTTTGTATCCGAATATCCATATTTCTCAACCTAATGGCCATTTGGGATCTATTTTAGACAATCGAATTAGACCACGCTACTATAGAAAATTATTCTCAAATAGTCCCTCAGGGAATAAAATATACAATTAAATTGAGATCAATTTTGTATCCCAATTCATATCAATATCCAATCGAGAGGGCTAAATTGTGATCAATTTTATATGATTTAAATACTAACTTGACTACATATGAATAATCAGGAGACTATTTTGGACTTTTCCCAAACAAAATATATACATGATGCATAGAAACAGGTATACTGAAACAAAATATACTCACTTATACAGGTATCATGCTCTGCCATGTACAGAAGATCACCACGGCAGCTGCATTCATAACTTCCCCATGTGTTCTTACATTTGCAATCTCGGCATTGGCAGGCAATCTTTTCTTTACATTCATTCACATCTGCAACAACCAGATTTAGATTTTAGAATAGCTGTAACAAAATTAGTAGCTGCATCAAAAGCAAAGGCAGCTACTATAATTTCATAGAACCAAAAAAGGGAGACCAACAACAAAAATTTGAAAGGCACAGATTGATTAGCTGAAAGAAGGCCACAATATGGCTCCAAGCCACCATATTTTTCAAAATAGAAAATATATAAATAAGCACCTTCACAAGTTTTAACTCCATCACCCTTGAAGCCTAAAGGGCACTTGCATCCATTTTCTTGATATTCCTGCATTGTAAATCTTAACTGCTTAGAATGGAACCACAAAGAGCATTCCATTAAAAAAATTAACTACCTATACAAACTTACAGCACAGGCAGAGAATGTTGTGCCGTCTTTACTTCCCTTCCAACACCCTCCATTATTAATATCACATCGTCCCGATCCAGAAGCTGTACAAGACAAGATACATGCCGCCTATGATTTTTAGGAGTTTAAAATCACATCAAGGTCTCCATGGCTCTCTATATTATAGGATAATCACAAGTTGTAACCAATTAAGTTTGTCAATAAACTGATAATATAGGTGAAGATGAAAGCCAGATGATTTATAATACAAACACAATACAAATCATCAATGCTCAACAGCTATAGGAATTCCAATGAAATTCGTCTCCAACCATGATTACCATTTCACTAAAAGTTACAAGGTTAGCTCATCAAAGGACATATAACAATGAGTCTACATGCTCTTGCAAGATATTGGGATGTTGACCAGTTGATAGAAAGAGGTTTGACATTAACTTGAGCCTGAGGGAATCCAAGTAATATCTTGAAGGCATATGTGGGCTCCGAAAATTCGGCCCCAGCCTCCGCCTGTTGTGCTTTTCTTCGGGGGAGTTTTAACGGATTAAGTTCTGGGGTAAATTTTAGAAAGGCAGATGGGTTTGTAGATAAGACACTACCCAGAGATTTCGCCCTCATTTTGCGAGGAGTTTATAATTTGAGTTTTGGTTTCCTATAGGCGCAAGCCCCTATAGTTAATTACCCCTCCCGTTTGCGAGGACTTTATGATCTGAGTTCTGGTTTTCTATAGGCGCAAGCCCCTATAGTTAATTACCCCTTCCGATAACGAGAGAGAACTTTCGATTAAGGTTAGTCGTCAATCAGATATGTAGAGATATGTGTTATCTGGAATATAATAGCACCATTGGGATTATGTATTTGGAAATGTTGAAGATTTGATATTTAAAATTTAAAATTTTCACCATCTTGCACTTAAAGTGGATGGTGGGAGAATGGATGATAGACCCAATCAAGATCCCATGGTTCCGTCATCCCGGGCCATCTTGGACCTTGGTCTACTGAGTCAGAGGAGGTAGTCGACCCAACCTGACAGAAGGATCCTTATCGACAACCATGAGTTGCTTTGTCCAAGGGGACCTTGTAGACCTGGGGTGAATATTTGCCTAAGGGGACAAATTTGAATCCGCCTTAGCTAACAATGAGCTTCGTGATATATTGATTATATCCTATTGTTTCATATTTTAAAGATTTGATATCACTAAGGAACGTATTGGTTCTGGCTATAATCGATATCTCGTTGTGCCATTTGGCGGCAAAACCACTTAGTTTAGAGGGCCCCGGGTCATAACCGTTTATCATGCGGTGCAATTTGGGGGCAAAATCACCGGTTAGAGGACACGTACCACGCCTTTACTGGCAGGAGATTATTTGAAAATAGATTCTACTGATATTTTCGACTAGGCATTAGCTTTATGTGAGTTGAAGTAAATTTTAATTCGTCCACCCTAAAAAACTGTTGCGGAGAGTGAATGGATTTTGCTTTAAGTGTTTGATAGTGTTGAATTTCACTTTTAAATATTTAGTTGGATTTTCGTGGATATTTAGGTGGAGCTTTGAATATTAGAATCACCACTCCGGTAAAAAAATAATAATAAAAAATAGAATCACCCATTCGGTTGAAATTTATGTTCAACACGGCTATCATCGGAGTGTTTGGGGATCATTTTCATATATAGCTTGAACCTTGTGAACTCTATCAAGCTCTCGACAGAGGATCTGGTTTCATAGGCTTTATGCCTTTGTTGATGAATTTTCTTCGTTGGAGGACTTGAGGCCTCATATGAATGTATAAAATTAGAAATTTCTCTGACCGTATATCTGTTTGATAATTTGGGCCATGTTGACTCCTATCTATTCAAATAGAATGAATGAGCTCAAACTACGTTCATTTATTGACCCGCTCAGCATCCCTAGACGTTGCGTGTATACCCATAATACGCTCGTTGGGGCCCATATGAGTGTTTGGGGGCATTTTATAATTATTTACTGAACCTTGTCAACACCTACTTACCTGTTTAGGAGGATTAGATTCAAATTGGATTCATCATTTGACCCGCACAGCATCTCTAGACGTCGTGTGCGTACCCATAACATGCTCGTCATGGCCCATGCGGGTGTGTAATTGCATATGCCCTTATGTGTACTTATGTGCATACATATTACAATGCATGTGCGAGGGCATTCTAGAATATTTCAGTTGTGCACGCAACTGCCATTTGAGAGTTTAAACACCTTCTGTCCACTTGTATAAGTGTTGCGAATCCGGTGGCGTGGCGTACGGCTTATGGATTGAGTTGTTTGCTGCTTTGTATAGGTAGACTGTCGTGCACTACTTATTGCTTTCTGCATGTGGATTACAGCACACTAATAAATCTCCTACTTTTACTTGTAGATGCTTGCACCATAATGAGCTTTTGTGCTTGCTTGAAAATAGTTTGTTGTGTATGACGGGCCCTACTGTAGTAGCTCGTAGGCATTTGAATTTTGTTGCATGTTATTTGTTCATGATTGCAATGGAGTAATGTATTTATTCAACATTGAACAGTAATGGATCGTAAGAAGTGTCATATCATTCATTTCCTTCGGCTACGGCAGCTTGCAGGAGTGTAGGTATCTTGTATGTATAGCAGGTATACAGTCATTACTCACAGATAACATGTCGCATGAATACCTAATGTTGGTCGTAGAAAGGATCCGAAGTTTACTGAACATTTCTCGTAGTCACTCATAGGTGGAATACTGCATGCATAATGAACCTTTTACGCTCACTTGTGAGTATACTGTAATGTCTTCCGCCATCTATGACCCTTCATAAGCATTTGCGGATGGATATGTTAGGGACTATCGTGTCTCTTTACATTTGTGGATTGATTAATTTTCACCATTCATTATGATAGATGCTCACTGACGTTTGCATGATCTATGTATATGATATACACATACATTGCTCATTGTCTACTATTTCCTTTTGTATCACGCTTCTGGCTAGCGGATTTTCTACAAACAACTCGTAGGAACTTATATGCCTGCATGTCGACTTATATCATTGATATCCACTTGCAATCAACAAAATACACTTTTCACTTATCTATAAGGGTTTGTCATGTTGACCTACAAACTCATGTTTGAAGATATGTTCATTACAACTTCTTTGTAGTTTGGCAAGTATCCACTGCATTTGTTTGCATATACTTCATTGTTGTTCACAAACAACCACAGGTCTCCTATAGCAGCTTGAGGATGGTCTGTTGTGTGTATTTACAAGCCATTTGACATCGTTTTTGAGGAGGTGGTCACCTTGCAAGTTCTTTACTCACACTATTCTTCTAAGGAGTCAGAACATTCACTAAGCATTTTTCAGTGAATTGATCCCTTATGTATTTTTGTTGTTACTTGCATGTGATCCGTATCAATTCACTGAAATAGATCCTCACCAATAATAAAAAAGAGTGGCACACAAAAATGACACATGCACTATAGGCGTATCGTACTACTTACAAGACGAAGAAAAAAGACACTCCCTACTCACTAGTGTTTGGGGTTGAAACTGTATTACCATTGGAGATTGAGCTTCCATCACTCCGTGTAGCCATCCAATACGATCTAACTAAAGACCAAAATGCTTGATTGAGAATGGAAGAACTCGACGTGCTCGATAAAGTCAGACTACAAGCTCAACAGAACTTGAAAATCTATCGGACAAGGATGACGAAATCATTTGATCAAATAGTGCGAAAAATTTGTTGAGCTGTTGAGAATGTCAATCATCCCACACCAAAAAATTGGCGAAAATTTTGTGTCAAATGGAAAGGCCCCTTTCGTCATAGAGAATGTGTACCTACGAGGAGCTTATCAATTGATTGACTTAGACGGTCAGAGGCGCATGCAACGGATTAACGGTCGATACTTGAAGAAGCATTATATATAGGTATAAATATGTATTTAAAATTTTATTATTTATTTCACATGTGCCTGCTAGCATATGTACCACATATGTTTTGAAATTCTCTTTTAATACAACAATGTATTTAAAAAAAAATATTATTTTATTATTATATATATTTTTTGAAATTCGCGTATTTACCTCAAAATTTGTGTCGATCTCGCCGAACAATCATGATTGAACAAGTTAATAGTGTATTTAGGGTATTATCGATGTTCCGATCGCAACAGCGCAGTCCATTTCGCGCTCGGACGTCGTTTGAGCAATGTCGAATGAACTTTTCCTTAAAATTTATGCTTTGCCTTGGGATTCGTGCCACCACCTCGATCGATCCCAATTAATTAAATAAGATATATATTTTAAGTGTCGACGATATTCTGAACACAATGATGAAGTCTGTTTGTCAATCGGGTATTGTTTGACTAGAGTCACGCTTTAATTTCGGGTGTCGGTCGTCCCTTTTGACCGATTTCATCCAATTCGACTGCGAGGGGCCTCGACCTAGCAGAATTTGATAGTTTGATTGGGATGTCACTGTTCGTTCAACGTTCGGAGGTCATTTGACCGTTCAAGTGGTGCGTCATATCAATCTGCGCACTGCTTGATTCGCCACTTTCGTCCTTTTTATGCTTAGTTTGAGTTATAGGGGTCAACATAGAGAAAAGCATGTGTAGGTCATTTTTCGGTGCACTAAGAGCACCAAAAGCTGAGTTTTGGAGGATTTTGAGTTTAAAAGGAATTATACATTTGCAAGGTGGTGACGGCGATGATGTTAGTGATGAGTGACAACTAAAATGCACGTGTTTTCTCTCTTTTTCTTTTTCTTCTCTCTTTTTTTTTTAATAATAATATTAATAGTAAAGGGTAATAATATTAATAACTAATAATATTAGTTAATAATAATAATTAAGATAATGATTAATAATAAATAATGATAATAAAAGGGTTGTTGGAGAGTGGTTGTTGAGGCTTGAGGGGAAGCTAGGGCTGCATATTTTGAATGGCTATAGGAAATGAGGGAGATTAAGTGAGGTTGTTGTTTGGGGAGTGTAGTGAGGCTATTATAGGGGAGAGGTGAATGAAAAGCGGATGGTTTTTTTTTGAAGGAAAATGCACGCAGTGGAGGTTGAAGCTCGATCCAGGAGTTTGAGATCGGCACAGTAGCCGGCTATGCTTGGTCGGGTGGCCTGGATCGGATAGAGGGCAGCTAGATGTTAGATTGAGTGGCTTCAATAGACGACGAATTGGAGTTCGGCTGCAAAATGTTTTGATAGAGTGCTCGGCAGCTGTGTGGGCTGGCTGCAACCTTAGAGGTGTGAGTCGAGATGGCTATGGGAGATCAGAAGGCTAATGTACGGCTTGGGTGAGGCTTCGGCTTCGGTCGAAGTGAGCGTCCAATTGGAGGCCTGGTCTCGGCCGGGCTTGGAAGCTTTGATCGGGCTTTAACGAGAGGTGGTCGGGTCAACTGGAGCTAAAGATTCATAGGGATTGTGAATGTGCTTGGAGTTGCGGCTGGGAAGCTGCAAGGAGTTAGAGGATCAATAGGGTCTTGAGTTTTGGTCGGAGTCGGATGGTTTGTTGGTAACGGATGGCTTCGGTCGGGTAGTAGATTCATGAGAGGAAGCAATGGAGTGTCCATGGATTTCAGCTTGTGAGAGAGGTGGGTTCAGATGTTATAGTTCAGCACAGTGAAGGAGATTGGAGATCGTTTGTAGGCTGGAAGCTCAGTGTGTGGGAAGAAAGACCGAAGGCTCCCTCTCAATTTCTCTTTTATCATTCGATCAGGAGTGCAATTGAGGCGAACACGAAGAGACGGTTTTGCGCCGGATTGAGCAAGATTTTCACAGAAAATCGGGATGGGCCTCCATTTGTGCATGGATTTCGGCAGGGATTCAAGCGGAGGTAATAATGATTTTTTTTTAATTTTTTATTTATGAGGTCAACAATGTTTAATTTGGAATATAAAAGATATTTATCCACTTTTCACAGTGGGTAGCTGCTGAATGACATGAAATTGAATGCATTTCCTCATTCAAGCAGTAAAATTCCAATCCCAAGAATGTAGAAACAAAATAAAACAAAAAGGAGATGCAAATCCTCACTTCAACAACAATCTTCCTCAAAGCTTTCCATACTTTCTCATGAATAGCAGATTTGTGTGCAGTGCCATGGGTCCTAGGAATCCTATTACAAATTGCAGGCTTGCTATTTCTCAGCCAGGTTATAACTAAGAACATAGCACAATTTTATTTTCCTAAATAAAATTTAATTTCAATCACATATCCTAGAACATTATAGTTTCTCAAATAGGTTACGCTAAAAATCGTACCTTTACAATGTGTATACCCATCACCAACAAACTTTACACCATTGACAACAGGACATTCACATACTCTTCCACGGAAAGTATCCTGCAATTTACAAGTCCACTGATGAATTAAAACTTCATGTAAAAACTTGAACATTTCAAATTTATAAAACTCTGAAAATACCTTGCAGGCAGAAATATTAGCTTCCTTGTCCTTCCAGCATCCACCATTGTTTTCCAAGCATTCATTTGTCTGGATGTCTATTAAAAAATTAATGAAGATAAGTACCCAACCGGAAAAAAAGATACTGCAAACAAAAGAATTTCAAAAGATCTAGTAAAAAAAACCCATCTTTACTCCAAAAATTCATACCAACCTTCCTTCAAACACACAGCAGGCTCTGTTGTTTCCTGAAAACCAGCACAGATTGCTTTAAGCACAGCACTCTTGTCCAACTTGCCTGTAATCAAGAAGACAATATGCTATTGACTCTAATGATGATGACGATGATATTCCACAAATTTAATGAAATCACACTACATTCACAAGAAATAAATTCAAGCAAACCTCGGTACTGCCGGTTGTTTATGACAAGTGTTGGCAGGATAGTAACATCCCCACGGGACTTCTTCCCAATCTGAAAGAACAAAATAATTATGAACATAAGAGAAAAGATGAAAGAATTTGTAAGAGAACATAATCACATTAACAATACTTATGCGGTAGAGACTCAAATTTTCCTGACCTGCGCATCTTGTTCAGCCTTCAGCATGGGATTGTCTTCATCAGCCTCAGGATCTCCAATACAACTATTTACTTTCTTCAGATCAACACCTGCGGGAAGAAAATAAAACAGATCATCGCTTGAAACACAAAAATCAACCTATTCACATAGATTGCTTAAAATTCTGACCAAGCAACCCCAATGAGTTTGAAAAAATTATCCACATACCCAATGTGTTGATTACATCTTCAGCACATTCCTTGGTGTATTTCTTGTCTTTCATTGGGCACCTAATGGAGAAGTCAGTTACATAATCCCACCAAAGCCATGGCTTTCCACTTTCATTGGCAACTTTAAACAAGCAGACCTGTCTGAGATTCTGGATCACAACATCCCTCCCATCATATCCTTTGCTGAAATCCTGTTCGGGATCAGGGGCACAGTACCTTCCATGGTTGATGCATTGAGATTTGCATTGCTTGCTCAAAATGAAAACTTCAGGGCAATACCAAGTAATATAATGTGGTGTGAATTGAGTGTAACCCTTTTTCTCAAGTATTTGTGCTGCACCTTTAAAAGTTCTAACGAAGTCTATTTGGCTGTCACATTTGGGGCCACATTCATCATTGCTGTTAGTCCAGAGCTCATACTCAACACGGTCATCAGGATGAGGTAAGGATTCCCTCCAATCTAGATTGACACTGACCATTTCTCCATCCACCAGGGCTTTCTTAAGACCATCCCCAAAGCTTTTACTAATAAGTACAGATGGGATGGATATATTTTGTAAATAATCTCCGCGAGCACTGTCTTCTTCAGGCGTGTCCATTGTGATCAATGGTTCCTCCTTGTCATCAGCAACAAGAATTGCAGCAGCTCCTGCATTCTGTGCGTTCCAAGCTTTTGTTGTAAAATAGCAATCTGTCCATAACCATAAACAAATTGCTTAAATTAAAAGTAAATCTAAACAAATAAATATGTCAAGAGACAATGAAGTCTTCCCAACTCTCCAAGGATTTGAGTAATGGTGTTCAGATATGAAATTCCATGGATAAATTCACATGAACAAACTAAAGAGGGACTGAAGTTAAATTAGACACACATACGGTCAAAATTAATTTCAATTCAAAAACTTAATATTATAAGTGGGATCAACCACTTGATATTTCTATACATTAATATATTTTTTAACAATTTAATATGGGGCTTAATCCAATACTCTCAGTCTTTAACGAGTTCACCCTCACCGACTGATTTGATTGGGAGGATATTAGAAAGTTTTTTAATCAATAGGGAGTTGTTTAGGAGGTCCTTAATCAAAGGAGGATTTTTTATGAATGTTTAAATTATAATTGGGAGGAAATTATTTATGACAAAAGATCTAATCTGAATCAAAATCTAAGAGGAAATTATTTAAGAAAAATGAGGAGCAATTATTTAGGAAAGTTTTAAACTTTTAATTACAATTGGGAGGGAATGAATCAGGAAAATAAATCTAGTTTGAATTCAAATATGAGAGGGAATTATTTAGGGAATAGGGGCTGATTTGAGAGGGAATTATGAGAGCCTATTTAAGGCTAACAATGAGTGATTTCATGATTATGTTTTTAGTTTGCTGAAATTAGAATTTCTTATGTTGTGAGGGCTTTAGCCTCCGACTAAGGATTTGGGAGAGTTAAATCTTCCTCTCCAATTGAAGATCCAACTGTATCTTGTTATTTTCTTTCATATATCTTGCATTAAAAATAGTTTTGGTGTGTTCTTCCTATTTTCTTATCGTCGTTCACTGATTTCACAGGAATTATATCCACTCCTATCAGATTGTCATGGAAATTACTCACTCTTTGAACTTTGCTCAACTATAGTGTGAGGTTGGTCAAAACTCATGGGAGCTATAAACAATAAACTATTAGGGCAAGTGAACAAAAGGAGGACTATAATTAAGTCAAATACACTAATGGCTAACCCGATTTTAGCCCAAAATGCTTATATTTATCGATAAGTGTCAACAATTTTAGCATTTTTACACTAAATTTTTCAACAACAGACATTGGACCAAAACGACTTTTGTGCATCTTAACAAAAATGATATGAACTACTCGATCCCAATACAACCAATGGCTTTAAACCATTTCTTGGTTATTCGGACCAAAAGTAGATAAAAATTAGGCTCGATACATAAAAGGTCAAAACTATTTTTAACCCAAAAGCTTCAGGGTTTAATAGAGTCAAATCAAGTTGAGTCATAGCTAACTTGAGCTTTGATTGCTAAATTTTAATTAGGCTTCAACCAGGCTTGCTAGATTAACAGTGCGCCCAAGCTCGACTCGGTAATTTTAACTTGCCAAAATTTTGTAACCATGATGGGACCTCACTGCAAAAGTCATTGACAACGAAGGCATTACAATAAGAACTTGTTAGAAAAGGCATTGACAACGAGCTGTAGTTGGATAAAACATCAAATCTGGCGATAGCTTGCAAGAGAGAACATGCATGGTGTGGGCCGCTAGTAGCTTGCTGGAGAATGCTTCTCCACAAGTACTAATTGGAGAAGGTATTGTTGGCTATGGTGTCACGCCAAAGACGGCATTGCAAAGATTGCTCGTTGGAAAAGGCATTGATGGGGCCAGCAATGTTTAAAAAAGAAGAGTTTGTTAGAGGTGAGGCTTGTAATTAAATCTGATAAGTTTACCCATGTTTATGAATGTGTGATGAGAATTTATTCCATATGGCAGAAACAAGAAGATTTTAGAGCCTCTTCAAGCTAACTTGTGAGCTAACGAGTTGAGCCTCTTGAAGCTCGAAATGTTCTTCATGCATTCTACCGAATATAGGATATCATTAAGATAAACAATGGAAAAGTTGTACAAGCATGATTGTAGAACATCATTCATCAACCTGGTGAATGCAGCTAGGATGTTATGAAGTTTGAATAATATAAACAACCACTAATATAACTCGTGATTGTCTTGGAAAACAAACTTCCATGTATCCATATGATTGATGCACACCTAGTGATAAGCAAATTTGAAATCCAACTTGGTGATGATGGTTATATGCATCAATTAATCTACCAAGTGGTCAATCAGTGGTAGTGAATAATGACTTTTTGCCATTATTTAATTAAGAGTGAGATAGTTAACACGATCTATTCTCCAACAACTCTACAACTTGCTTTTTGATTTCTTCATTCTTGATGATTGAGTTTCAGTACATTGAAAAGTTTGGTGCTGGAAAGTCTAAGATTAACCGGATATCATACCTTATGGTTTGCTATGATGGCAACCCTTGTACCTCCTAGAAAAAAAGTGGCATATACCTCTTCAAAAATCTTTGTAATTTTAAATCACTAGCGTTGTTTAATATAGATAGAGCAATGTTTCTTTCTTCCTTCATGATGGGCTAATTAAAAAAAAGTTTGTTTAAGATTTTTTTTGCCATAATTATAAGTTTAATACACTACTTGATACTAAGACATCCATTATTAGTAAACCATAGTCCTTCAGAAAGTACAACTTCCCTACCAAAGTCATCCAACATCAATAGGAATGGCAAAACAACACTGCATACCTATCATTCAAGTCATATTACCCAAGTAAACTTGAAAAAGACCAAGTGGAACCACCTCATACAATATCTCATCAATGAAGTCATCAATAATTGCAAAATTTCAACTGACATTAGAGATCAATCCTCATGTATGATCTCTTCTAAATCAAACCCAAAGGAATAAGGACCTTGACAAGGTATGATGTCCAACACCAACTTTCGCATCTGAGTAAAAAAAATGAGATTCTTCTGGCATTTGGTGTCAATGATAACATTGATCACCTCTTGCTTGACTTTGATCCAGAGTAAATAATTCTTGTTGTATCCATGCTTGAGAGTGAACCCCGCTGGTATATCCTTCGGTAAAGCCATTAGATATAAGTACAAGTCCACTTGTCTTTGGAACTATGCATTGTGTTATACACGGCAACAACACAAGTCTTTCCTTTCATATACTTCTTCCACTTTTAAGGGATCAGTTTAGAGTACTCCTTCCAGCAATTTTTTCTAGTACAACAACACATGATAATGATTACAAAATTACCTAAAGCATTTAACGTAGAGGTAGAAGCAGGTTTTGGAGCATGCCACTCAATTTTGTTATCGTTTTGATAGATGTAGCCCCTACTCTTTCCAATCTTGATTATTATGCTTTAATATCACCACTAATATACTAGCCCAATTAAGATCAAAAGTTGAAAATAAGTGAAGTTCATTTGCAATTTACAAACAAAGCCCTGAAGTGTACTTCAACAGGGTTACCAAGTCTCAAAGATTAACTCATAAAATAATTGCCTCATATCAGAACTTTGTGGTGTATTCTTGCATAAATTGCTCTTGGCATTGCCTCAAATTATTTCACTTCTTCCAACTACCTTCTACATACTCTCCAAATCATCACTTGATGGTTATTCCTCTTTAGATAGGCATTTCAACATGCCATAGTATGATGCCTTAACTTCAGTCGGGTAAAGGCAACCTTACCATTCGTGTTATACCCTTACAAGGATGGTCTACTAAGACTGATTAATCCATGCATCCAGATTTTCGATATCAACTATCTCTTCATATGTAAAAATTTTAAATTAGGCTTCTACATTGAATGGCTGAATCATTTCTATATGAGCTATAGCCAAATCTATACATCCATCCTCTCTGCACATACTTGTATTTGGAAGGAATGAGGAATATGATATGACCATCTGGTCGTAGTGGTTGGTTATTTGCATTTGCATGCACATCCACTTAATCATGGTGATCGTGTTCTCTGTTATTTTAACCATTTGATTAGCCGAATTTGATGTAGAATCATTACTAGCCATTAATTGATTTTCTTTTCTTCTTTTTTTCCGTCTCTTTCTTGACTTCTAATACAGATTTATATCCCTTCCCTTTTTATACAATGCATTAAGGTTCAATACTCGGATAGTAACTTGATTTGTGCCAAATCTGAATGTAACTTCTTTACTAAAATTGAAATTCTCTTCTTCGTTTTGACTCTCTACTAGTTGTGCACAATACTTCTATTCATTGTGTTCATTCCTCTTGATAATGTTGTTAACAACAAAAGCAGCTTCAAATTGTCCTTGTATGTACTTTGGAATCAACTAACCATTGGATAACATACAGTGGGAGGGTAGCAGCAAAATAACAAAGCTAGCTAGTAATAACCACAACAACCAGCAACATAAATAGGAGCAACAATAACGACATGTAACAGCTTCAACAAACACAAACCTATAGATGCAAGGGACCAATTCCTTTCCATAATGTGCTATAGTGCTCGGGCTCAAGTTCTAACAATTTGAGAAAAAGGTAGGAGAAATATAAGAAAAAAAAAATCTTAATCAATTTCCCCTTGGTTTCCATACAATTCTAAGTCTTTGAAAGGTCAATTACAATAGGAACTGTTCTAAAAAAAAACATCATAAACAAACTCCACAAAGAAAGGAACAACCCTATTTACAAATAACTAACTAGATAAGTTCAAGCTAAATGATAAGTCATACAGGAATTATCCTAAACTAAATTTAAGGCCTGTAGACAACTTTTTGATTACTTTGAATTTCAAACTACAACCATCTTTCATTATTGCTTTATTGCTACTTCTTAGAAATTTTTGTGATAGAAAGTTGATGAGGACATCAAATTTCGCCACGTGTACCATCGTCGGAGACGCAGATCGACGACTATGATCCAAAGCCTTTATTTCTGATTGATTTTGTATTTTATTTATTCTCGCATTTTATTTTCCTATTTTGCCCCTGTGGGTATTGAGTCGCTTCTATAGCCCTAAGGGCATTTGTGTCTTTCTAGCTTTGTCTTAGTTTGGCCTATTTAAAGGAGGCCTCATGCATTGTAATGGGATGATG